TGTGGAGCTTTAAGGTCTTTTGCATACTGCTCAGAATTCCTGCCACAGGTTTATTTTTTATTTATTTATTATCAGGTGCAATTCATTCCTTTTAGTTCCAGATCAGAAATGAGCAGCCTGCACTACACCCATGAAGTGACCAAACAAAGAATTATGCCACTGAATCAGTGTTAGAACACAGGGACACAATGGAAATTCCAGGGTAGTATAAACCACAGTGTAACCATGAGAAATAGGCTTTATGGCTCTCTTGGAACAGAAAGCACTCAAGATAATTTCAGCCCCAGTAAACAGCTGATTACATTCAGTTATTCCTGTAATGAGGCCCAGTGTTTCTCAGACAAACAGGTCATGTCTCATTTGGTACACTTCCCTCTGCCACATCAGTCATTGACTTAAGAGAGATCACTACCAACAGAATTCTCAATGCCAGCCTAGTGCTTAGTGTTCTGCACTAGCATGATCACTCCTTTGACCAGCACCAATAGAGATATCTATCAAACAGCATATAGCAGAGAAAGCCTATACCCACACCTCCGGGTGATATAAGAGAAGCTGTGACAGTCTCTAGTGGAAGCATCATCCTCATTGCTGGAAACAGTATGGGCACAACACATGAAGTAAAGGAGGTTAGTGATCAAACAGCTCCAGAAGACTGGAAGAAAGTTAATGCTGTGCCAATATTTAAAAAGGGTATATGGGATGACTTGGGTAGTAATAGGCTTGTCAGTCTGACATTGATCCTGGGCAAAATAATGGAATGAATGATACAGGACTCAATTAATAAAGAATTAAAGGAGCGTAATATAATTAATGCCAATTCACATGAGTTTATGGGAAATTGATATCTTTTTTGATGAGATTAGAAATTTGGTTGATAAAGAGAATAATGTGGATTAATATATTTGAACTTCTGAAAGGCATTTGATGTGGTACTGCACAATATTTTCATTAAGAAACTAAATGATACAAATGTAACATGGCACATATTAAATGGATTAGAAATTAGATGGCCGATCTCAAAATGTAATTGTAAATGGGGGACACAGAGAGGATACGGTTCCAGTGGGGTCCTGCAGGGATTGGTTCTATATGATTTAACATTTTTATCAGTGACCTGGAAGAAAACATAAAATTATCATTGAAAGTTTGCAGATGGTGCAAAGAATGGAGGATGGTAAACAATGAAGAGAACAGGTCATGGATACAGAACAATCTGGATCGTTTGATAAGCTGGGTGCAAACAAACAAAGTATGTAAACCATACTTACCAGATGGGGAACTTTATCCTGGGAAGCAGTGACACTGAAAAGCACTTGGGGGTCATGGCTGATAATATCAGCTGAATATGAGCTCCCATTGTGATGTTGTGGCCTACAGGGCTAGTGGGATGCTTGGAAACTGTGCAGCCTTGAGTAGGAGTAGAGTAAATTATGTCTGTATTTGGCACTGGTGAAACTGCTGCTGGAATACTGTATCCAGTCCTTGTGTCCACAATTCAAGAAGGATGTTGATAAATTCAAAGAACAGCCATGGGAATGAATAAAGGATTGGAATTGGAGAATATGCCTTAGAGTGAAAGATCCCAGGAGCTCAATCCATTTAGTTTAACAAGGAAGAGGGTAAGGGGTCACTTGATCACAGTTTTTAAAGTAACTAACAGGGGAGAACAGAAATTTGATAATAGAGGGATCTTCAACTTCCCGAACAACGTTATAACAAGAATCTATAGCTGAAAGCTGAAGCTAGACAAATTCAGACTAGAAATAAGGCTCAAATTTTTTTAACAATGAGGATAATTAACCACTGGAACAACTTGCCCAGGGTTGTGGTAGATTATCCATCACTGGTAATTTTAAAATCAAGATTGGATGTTTTCCTAAAAGATATGATCTAGTTCAAATAGGAATTAATTCAGGGGAAGTCCCACGGTCTGTGTTAATCAGAAAGCCAGTCTAAATGATCACAATGGTCTCTTCTGGCTTTATAATCCACAAATCTATTAAATAGGTAAATTGGGGAGAAAAAGGATATTTAGAGCATTGAAATGGGAAGAGGGAATATACTAGGGAATAAGATATTCCAGAGATTTGAGTCCAGAAAATATACCTACCCTTTGTTTGTTCTCATATTGGGTGTGCTGAGCTCACTGATTTAATGGCATAGGCAACAACAGATAAGTTTTCTGTACCTGGGCAAGATGGCTAAAAGCTGCGGCTTTCTGCCTTGACATTTTAATTAACTAATGGCTAGAAGAGTTAAAAACATGGTATACAAACCCCCAAAGCATTTCTCCTTTCAGTTACTTGTGCAGCCAAATATCTCTAGATATAAACACTTCTCTACATCTACTCATAAGAATAAATCAGGACAATTCAGCACTCACCGGATACCTGCAAATTCCACTTTTTGGGTGACATAGGCACACGTGCTGACCTAAGACAGAAGAGTTATAGATGATGGAAAAAGCAATAACTCTCAAAGCAACTAGAATGATTCACAGGAAACAGTTGTTAGAACCCTGAGACCCTGATCACCCTCCCTAAAGTCCACCTTAAAAGCTGGAGGCCGCTTAGCACATTTACAATTAACATCTCAACCTAGAGAGTATTCTGCTAGGGCTTGTGTAGGTAAATGGACATAGTTTAATATAGCAGAGAACACCTGAGCAAGAGAAACAGCTATCATTCATCTGGTATACTGCTCATCTGATTGGACACTGGCTGCACTCCAGAATACAGAAATGTGGGAATCCTCAGCTGTTGTCTAACAAGTGGCAACGTCATGAACAGTTAATTCTAGCACATTTTTGGCTGATGTTCACTTGGACCCAACCTCTCCCAAATACTTTGTTCAGTCAAAAGAATTTAGAATATGATGAACAGCCATTAACACTGTTGGCTACCAGTGATCCATGGATGAACACTATTTTCCAGAAAAAAGTTGTGAAGCAACTTAATTAAATACTGTAATATTGTTACATACAGTTCTCACTCAAGTCCCACTCACTAGTGCACAGAAAGGAATGAGGCAAATTTCTCCGAAGCAATTGCCCTTGAGCTTTTCCTCAGTGCTCCATAGCTCTGCATGATAGCCATGTTCATGCCTCACGAACAGTGAGAAAAGGCAGTGTCCCCTCCATCCCACACATTACAATCATAGGCCTTACCAAGCTCTTTTTCAGTCGCCACATATCCCCACGCCCAATGTACTGATCCTTAAAGGTCAGCTCCACCAGGTCAAGAGTCACATCCTTAAAAAGGAATCAGTACATAGATTTCAGTGTGTGTTCACAATACAACACTCTCTTATATGACCTCATGTTACATGAAAAGAGCATTTACTTGCTTTGAAAGGGCCTAAGAGGGAAGGTCTAATAGTACAAATACTGAAAAAGCTCATATGGCTGGAATGCAGGGACAATCGTGAGTGGCAGGCTAGCATATTCTGGGGATTAGTGAAGTTCAAAGTAAAGGTCTAAGCACACTCACCACCCCCAGCGCGGATCTGAAGCACAAGAGAAAATATCATTTAAAAAAAAAAGGGGGGGGTACTTCTAACTCTAAGGCAAACAAGATAACTGAAGGACTCTCATTTGTGCTAAATTAGGGGTAGTCAATAGGCAGACCGTGAGCCAAATCCAGACCACCAGATGCCTTTGAACAGACCCCAAAATC